AAAACTCCTCTGAATATTTTTATTTGGCTAGATGGACTTTTCCAAAAGCTCATAAAATATTTCAGGGGTATTTGAAATTATATTCTAGTTATATGAATATAATTCAAATTCAAATAGCTAATGATTTAAATTCAAAGTCCCAAAAATAAATCCTTAAAAATTTTCAATATTTTGGTTGGGACCAGAACCCTTGCCAAAAATTATCAAACATTTAAGAAGAGCATTTTGGAACAATGAATGAGATTTTTAGGGTTTTTGCCCTTCTTTTATTTAGGGTTTTGAGGCTTCCAAATTTCCTCAGTTCAAGTTTTCAAAATTTAAACATGATGCAAACACCAGGCAGCACCAGAAGCTAGGGATGTGACAGCGGACGACACAAGGCCTCCTCATGAGTGGCCTCACCAGGCAGGCTCGCGAGGAGGCGGAGAGATCAAGGCAAGGGGTACCTCACGAGGTTCCCATGACGCAAGCCATGACAATCAAGACCAGGCGGGCGCCAGGCGGGCTCCATCCCGCGCAATGTCCTTGTTTACTCTTTGGTGCAAAGGGGGCAAGCGCAGGCGCGGAGTACCGAGGCATCAGGCAAAAGTTTCCATATCGGTGCAACAAGCCCACACCAGCAGGACGGCAGGACGGAGGTCACCATGGAGCCCAAGACTGCGTCATCACCAGCACCTTTGGCAGGCGAAGACCACCTTTAGTCAGGATAGCTTGTACTAGTTGTCCCCTTTCAAAATGGCCGTTGTTGGATCCCTTCCCACTCAATATTTGGGAAGAGGACCAGGGCCTCTATAAATAGAGCTAGCCACCACAGTAGGAGGGCATCTCATCTAGAGACAGATCGAACCCTACCCAACCAGAACATCACACTTGCTAAGAACACCTTTCCTCGCGAGGTTGTTCTTCCTCTGTACTGTTCATCGTCATCCCAAGAGGCAATCCACCACCACACACAGGAGTAGGGTATTACACCACAACGGTGGCCCGAACCTGTATAAATCTTGTGTCTCTTGTGCTGTGAGTTCATCGATCTAGCTTAGGATCGTGGTGAGGCTGGGAGCGAGATTCAGTAGGAGGAGATCTTCATCCGCATCCCAGTGTTCGAACCTTAAGGGTTTTGCCGGAACCCGATATCCGACAGTGAGGTTGTCAATCTCACTAGCATTGCTAGTTACAACGATTAAAATCACAAGTGTATGGAAGATTTGATTGCGATAAGAAAGTAAAAGCAAGGAACTGAAATGAGCGTTTGATCGAGGTTGAAATCATATAAGAGGAAGATGGACCGAGAACAATAGGTTCACTAGTGGTTTCTCTCAAAAATAAAAACATGGTGTGATGAAGAAACAACAGTTGTGCATCGATTAAACTGCAGTTTTTATAACTGTGACCATCCATGGCATAATCAATATATCAGCATCATGTCTCAATATCTATAGACTGTTATGCAACTGCATCTATAGCTAATACTCCATCCCAAGACCTCTATCCAGCATGCAACTTGAAGTATTAACTAAAAATAGAGTATTTCAAAAAGTATGATGACATGAAATAGATGATCTATTGTCTTCCCTGTGTTCAAAGGACAACTACGCAACCATGTTCTTATCCCTACTGGAAACAACACATTACTAGCCTTTTCCACTTTGTGTCACTGTGGTAGATTACTTGCAAGATTGAACTCAACTATCATACACAACCCCCTCTTGGAGGTTACCCCTCAAACTTGGCCAAAGAAAGAAATATAGATATGGGAGAATATATGAACAAGAATTATGCAGCAAAGAAACCAAACAGATCTCAGAAAGACTAATGGATAAATCTGATCATAAGTTGCACAATCCATCATATCACAAAAAAAACACCAACAGATTACATCGGATGTATCACAATCATGTAGAGCACCTCATGTGATTTTTGTATTGAGAAACATGGGAGAGAAAACCAACTAGCTATTGTTGTGGATTCGTAGTCCAAAGAAAACTACTCACCGGCGATCATGATGACCTTCAAGTTGCTGGAGATGGCCACCATGATGATTTCCCCATATGACAGAGTGCCGGAAAAGACCTTCAGATTGGATCGCCGTTGTACAGAGAGGTGCGGCGTCGGAAACAGAAAGATTGCTTGATATTTAGGGTTTTTCGGACGAAAGATAAATATAGGGGTTGAGAGGTGGTGGATCAGAGCACCAAGGGAGGCCCACGCGGCCCCACCACACGCCCCACGACGCATGGTCGGGGCGTGTGGGAGTTTTGGCCCACCCCCAGGCCACAGGCGGTGGCCTCCTGAAGCTTACTGATGCAAAATAATTTCTGAATTTTTTTAGGATTTTTAGACCTCATAAAGTTGATTTTTCTGAAAGTCCAAATATATGCAAAAACAGCAACTGACACTGGGCACTGGGCTAATACATTAGTTCAGTAAAATGATAAGAATTGGTGCCAAAATGATATGAACATGACATGAAACAATCAAAAATTGTACATGAGTTTGAGATATATCATTGCCTTCTTGGCTATTCTTGGGCAATATCAACCTCAAACGTTGCGCTACCAACAAGAATAATACGATTGTCAATAGGAGTATGATAAATACCGTCAGTGCAGCTCTGAATTCTATGGGAGTGACTGAGCTCATATTACATGGGCGCTTTGGGTGAGCAGTCGTGCCTCCCAAACCAAAACAAAGATTGACCATGTATTCTGCTCGGTTGATTGGGTCTGCTATTCGGGTTGTTTCCTCTTCTATGTTTCTGACCATTATGCAATGATTCTCACAGGCAAGTTTGCAAGGCGTATAGGGGCTTCTGTTTTGAATATTATTCGGTTGCATGAGAGGCTTTGACAAGCTGGTCAAGGATTCTTGGACACGCCCAGTTATATGGCGATTTTGTACGAGAAGCTCTCTAGATTGGCCCGATCGCTGTGCATCTGGAGTCGCGCAAAGGTTGGAAACATTGCCCTGTTGCCTGCTATTGATGATCAAATCATCATGGGGCTGGACCAGGCTCATGACACTAGAGATCTTATTATCGATAAGCTAGGCCTAAGGACTTTTCTCCGACACAAATCATTGGGGCTTGCGGTAGTCCAAAGGGTCAGAAAGCGTTCACGGTTGCAGTGGTTGTGTGTCGATGATTCCAAGTCCAAGTTGATCTTCATCAAAGCTAATGGTTGAAGGCGACGCGACCACATCCCGATCCTTGAGTGCGACAAGGGCTAGTTAACCATTCAAGCTGACAAGCACGACATGTTGTTCAAACTCTTCTCGGACACTATTGGGGCTGCTAACCCGAGATCTTCTTCGATCGATTGGGAATATCTGAACATCCCTACTCATGACCTGACAGCGCAAAAACATGTTGAAGAGCATAGGCTTGAGGACACCTCCTTATCTAGCCACTTATTTTTGCATCGCGATTCGTGCAAACACTTTTATTTTTTTCTCCCATATAAAATAACATATGAACTTCAAACTTTGTAGCACAGCAAGACATTCTAACTAGAAATGTGGGGGAAACTTTTGAATTTTTTCGTGCATCATAAATACTAAAAATGACAAAAAAAATTAATCAGAAAAATCTCATTTCGTATATTTTTGTTGGACAAAAATTTCTGAAAGTTTTTTCCGACATTCTAGTTAGAATGTTTTGGTGTCTTGCAAAGTTTGAAGTTCATATGTTGTTCTATTTGGAAGAAAGAATAAAGAGAAAATTTATGTATTAAGTTAGTTGTGCAGCGCGAATCTCAAAGCGATATCGAAGGGTAAGTATAAGGGATGTCTAGAAGCCCGAGCTTAAAAAACCGGAAGTGCAGTTTCTTCGCTTGGTTATGCTTGCCCGGGAGAATTCTCACTGATGACAACCTGACCAAAAGAGGACAGCTACACGATGATCTATGTGTCCTCTGTGATCAGGAAGGGGGGAAAACCTTGCATCTGCTCCTCAAATATTATTTCTTCGGCCCAATGGCTGAACTCCAACGAGCTGTGCGCCTCTGCTGATCAGGCCGAGTCCTTATGCCATATACACCTGTTGGAACCTTTGGAAGGAGCGCAACTGCAGAGTTTTCGGGTCCTCGCATATGGATGGAGACAGCATTTTCCATCTCACAATGCAATGGACTTCAGATTGTGAGAATGAACCTCCACCTGAGCCGGATTAAGATTGATCTTCTTTCTTTTTGTTTTGGCTGGGGCAATTGCTTATTGCCTACATCATTAACTTGTATCAGACGGTTCCGATTCCTCAAAAAGAAGAATTTTTAGTGATCAAAGGATTTTGGGGAAGGGCTAGAGATGCTGCAGGTGCGGCCAGACTGCCAGCTGATGACTGGATCCTATAATTAAGCTGCTAGTGAACTGAAGGCAATTCCCAAATTTCCTCAAGTCCGAGTAAAACTGAAAGCCCCAACATCACAGCAAATCTACTACTGTAGGTTCTAAATAATAAAGTTCAGTCTGGCCTTCTCAACACAGGTCGACTAAGTAGCTGTAGAGTAAACATTTACTGATACTGCTTGGTTATCTTGAGGCTTAGATTAGGCCAGGACAATTGTTGCAACTTGTAGCACAATATACTATCAAGGCCACTCACAACACTGAAATTTTCAGCCGAAACAGCCTAGGCACTACCTGGCATAAGGTTGTATTATTATTTCAGTAATGATGGGCAACTACCATTCTTGATCCATCTTATTTTGTGTAGAGCAACGTCAATATCCTAGTATTGGAACAGATTCTATTGTTCAAGATATTAACAAAATCCTAGTTTCACATATATTGCAAATGCAATGCAGTGACAGAAAAATTCAATCATTCATCGACCACCACATCAACCCTGCTTTCCTTCCATTCCATAACAATGATAAACAGACTGCAACCAGCCACAACATTCACTACTGCTGCTACTAGAGTTTAGGCCAAGATTCAGGTTGTCCAGGACAGATAGAACGCCTGCCATTTACAAAACAGAAACGAGCACCCTTCTTCAGTCCCGTCTAGATGTCATCATCCAGCTCGTTCTTCTCCTCTTCCTCTTCCTCCTCCTCTGGGGCGTCTTCTGGCTTATCCACCTCCTGCTCCGCATCCTCCACCTCTTCTGCATCCACGTCTGCCTTCTCATCTCCCACATTGTTCTCCTGCATCAACATCAGACACAAACGAACAGTCAAGCCAAGACTCACCAATAGCAATGTCAGAGCAATTCACAAGAATAGATTGATTGATCTGGTATGGAACCCAGGGAATTACCGCGCTGCCCTCGCCATTGGCAAACTGGGCCTTGAGCTCCTTGGCCTGGTCATTGTAGGGCTTCTTCTCCTCTTCAGTCATGGATTTCCACTTCTCCCCTGCTGCTTTGCCAACCTGCATTTCACCACCAGACACACGCACGGAGAGTCAGAGCCACAACACAGCACACAAACAAACCAATAAGAACGTGGGGATGAAAAGGACGTACGGCGGCAACACCCTTCTCTTCCGGGTGGGAGGCCTTGAACTCCACCCTGAAGTCCTTCCTGCGACGCAAATCGAATCGAATCTTGTCAGGTCACAAACAACAAAGATTTCGGACCAATTGACATGGCACGACAAGGAGAAATGAAGGGGGGATTACATGAAGAGGAAGAAGGCAGTCGGTGGGCGCTTTGCCTTTGGCTTCTTGGCACCATCTCCGTCCGCCTTGCTCTTCTTCCTCCCCTTGCCTCCGGCGGCAGCTGAGGGCGCCTTCCTCTTCTTCTCCTGGATCTCGACGGACTTCTCCACCACCTGCGACTCTGAAAACAAAAACGGAAGTAGCGGGGTCAGCGCGGCCGTAGGCAGACGCGGCCTAGATGTGTTGAAGACGGGAGGAGCTGAAACGCACCGAGGCTGAGGCGTATCTTGGAGTCGAGGCTGCAGCTGTGGAGGTCGATGAGGACGATGGCTACGTCCTTGTTGCACGCCTCGCTGAAACCAAAACCAGTCGTTCGGTCAGTCACTCATCGAAGAAGCAGCGGAGCAGGATAAGGGAGCGGGGAACGGAAGTTACCAGCGGGTGAAGGCGCTTCCGTCGCGCGCGCGCTTGAGGACGGTGGCCTCGACGCGCTTGCGGGAGCGGGGGGCGTTGCCGGCGGTCGCCATGGAACTGGA